TCGTATCAATAAAATTGTAGTTTGATTTATCATCATATGAATAATTACAGGAATTATTTCACAAAGCCTCCTTAGATTTCTTTTTTTATGTATGATTGTACCAACAATTATAAGTAATACAAAGTGATATTTCTCATCCCACGGAAAAACAGTGAGATCTGCAGGTAAAGACGATCAGTTACCGTTCTTCGATAGGCACGTTCCCAAATGCTAGTCATGAAAAAGTTGCTAAGTACTTGATAATCGATCGCAGAAGAGATATTAACATCCATGGCAATCTAATCGACAATAATACTAGATGATCACCATCATGATAAAATGGAATTATTACTATTTCGTAAAAAGCAACAACTTTCTTACAATCAGTTACCAGGTAATTTTTTCGTTATCAGTTACTCCGTAAGATAAAAGTAACTGATCATCTCTATCTATGAATCTTAAAATCTTCGGAAACTTTTCAAAGACCCGAAAACCAGATCCAAATCACAAAAAAGTCAATTAATTTAAAAAGTTCTTAACTAAGATGTTAAGCATTCATTTTGTTTTAAATTTTTCATATCTATTTATGAGGTACTTTTTCGGTGTAAAATTCTCTCCTTTTTATGATCTCTAACCATTTATTTTAAAATAACAAAAGTAGAAATCTCTATCTCATATTCCCATGAGAAACATGGGGGATCGGATCTTGTCGGCCCCCTTTCAAAACCGGTTCGATTCGGTGACCGGAACCGATCGGATGCCGTCCGGTGAAATCCGACAAACTCCACAATTATCCGATCAAAAACGTCGACCGGATTACGCGGGTTCCGATCCCAACCCACCAAACAGAAACCAGCGGATCCGACAAGTGAGATCAGTCGCATCCGATACGAACCATAGAATTCCGATATCAGAAAATCCTAGGAATTATCCGGATTGCGTCGCACAACAAGACAATATATCCGGTAAAATCCGTCCCATACCAGCACCGGAACATACTACAACCGACAAGAACCACTCAGCAACCTACCATACTGTTCACCACACCAGAAAACAACATCCGACGACGAAATAACTTCATTACGCCAACCCCTAGGATTCCTACACTTAACGCAGAAAAAAAACAATACTCTCTCGACCGAAAAAAAGGCAAAACAAAAACCCTTCACAGCAGAGTCAAATGAAGGCATTTCCCACAAAAACACCTCACTAAATATATCAAAACAAGGAAAAACAACATAAGGTATTCTAATCCAACATCACCCATATAAACAAGGCTAATAACTCACATTACTAACACACACTCTGAAACAATATTAACTACATTCCCACACAATCAGCACAAACAAAAACTGAAAGCATGCTTCATATTTATTTTCATGCGTGAGCAACAGAGATCTAATTTTGTGACGATCTCAATGATTCCTTTTACTTTGTCACAGAACCGA